CAACTGCGGGTTTCCCTGAAGAAAACGGCACGTCCACATCCGCGATCGGATCCGCGGGGGAATCGGGGCAACACAAGTCGAGGCTTGGCATCCTCTCCGAGTCTCCCGGCATCGGCGTATATCGGTGTAATGGCACTGTTTGGAACCCAATTGTTGACACGTGCTGCGAAAGGTCCGAAGGTTCACGATCTTGTCTTCAATTGGCAGAGCCGCATGCGTGGATGGGACGACCCTCAGAAAACCCTTGAGCATCGTGGCGACCTGAAGTTCAGAAGTTTCGGCTACTGCGACCGGCTTCTTTTTATATTTTGCACCGTCTCTCGGGGCAAGGCGAAGGCAACCAGCACGCGGCTTGTCTTCGGCACAGGCGGCTCAAATCGATGTGGTACTCCACTGCAAGCCATCACGTCGAACTTGGAAGTAAACAACTGGTCACTCGGAGGAATCGCTACTCCCAGAGGTCCCTCAAACAGCCCATCAATGGCAACGTCGTGCAAAGGTGTACTCTGCGGTGGTGCCCAATTTTCGGGGTGGCCATACCCCATTTTTACCATGTGTGTGTCTCAAGATAGGAGAACGCCAACAACAGTGGTTTCCTGTGGGATTCGTTGGATCCTTTTAAAGCCATTCTAAAAACCTACGGGGGATGCACAGTAGTTTGGGCAGGGGTACAGCCATTGAGCAGAATCTCCAGGCGAATCTTGAGGAAGTTGTGTATTTGTCCTACTGCCTGTACAAGCTTAACGTGGAACCCCCCCAAAAGTAGGGTCAATTCCCAAAAGGATTGGCCAAGAACAGAAAGCGAAGCTACAGCAGAGCACAAGAAACGGTGGCCAGCTTCTGGCCGCTAAGATGTTCGCCTTCTTGGCCACAAGGGGATTTGGGGCATGTACACTTCGTGGGAATCTGCCGGTTTGAGTTGGGGGGTAGTCCAGGGATGCTGTAGAAGGTATCAGCATGCCGAAACCAACCTCTGCTTAACTGAAACTCTGGTCACTACTAAGAAAGCCAGCCCTTTTCCTGGTGGGCCAAATCTGCATAAAACACAGGCCAAAGAAGCAGCAAATTTAGAATTGCTCCATGGCAGTGTCGCTCGATGGACCAAAGCAACCAGCAACCCTACAGAATTGCTCTTTGGCAGTGCCGTTTGGTTGGATGGAAATATATGCGTTTTCGCAGGGGCACTGGCCATTACAAAGAGACCCCTTTTCTTCTGGTGGGTGAAATCTGCGTCGAACACAGGCCTGAGCAAGCAGCAACAACTCGTTGGCAGCGTTGTTCGATTGGCAACTGCTTTGGAGTGTCCTTTGTTGTTTTGCAGCGCCTGTGTGCAGCCATGAACATTTGTTTGGCTCGGCGTCCGCTAGTTTGTTCCGTTGTATTTTTTGCGCCGCACTTGTTGAGTACAGAGAACGGAGAGGGACGGAGAGGGGGAACACATGCTTTGCAACAACTCCCCAACCCAACTTCCTGTAGATTCTCCAAGAAGCTCAACTTTGACAGCTTCGACTGACAGATGTGAGGCACTGGGGGGGGGGGGGGGGGGAATTTGCACAGGTGCCCGTACCCACACCTGGCGGGCAAGACCAACCCCATGACGGCGGATGAATGGATGCAGGCAGGCGAAAACTTTCTGAGCAGCTTCCATTCGGCTTGCGACAGAGACTCTCCAGGTGCCATTGGGCAAGGCAATCGTCTTAAGCTGGACAAAAGAAAGCAAGAGCAGCAGCTCTCCTGGCGAAAAAAAAGCGGCACCCCATTCTTCGGTTCCTAGAGCAACTTCTCGGTCTTCCAGTTCTCAGGTTCCATGTTTGGAGGGAAGGGTTGGCCTTTGCTCAGCGGGTGCAGGCGCTTGCTCGAGGGACCCGCTTCACTTTTCCCAGAAAGGTTCCTTTGATTCCTAGGGCAAGTCTTTGTTGCCCCAAAAGAACCCTTTGGAAGCACATGGCTTTTTCATACCTACAAAAGGTGATCGACCTTCAGGCTTGGAGCAACCCAAGGTTCACAGAGCTTTTCCCAAGATGGGGGAGGCCTTGCTTTCCTCCTTGCAGGGCCGGCGACGAGTGTCGTGACGGTCGTCAACTTGTCCAGAGGGTTGCCCCTTTCAAGTTATGAAGCTAGCATTGCTTCCGCGACTTCTCATGTTACTTAGCGGTTCCCCAGTCATTCCCTCAGACTCAGACTTTTGGCATAAGTCTTAGCTGTTAGTTGGATTTCTAACCTATCCCGCCTATCCGCAAAGTTCGACTTCTAGTCAGGGATCAACGAAACGAACCGCTAAGGTTAAACGGGCACCCGTTGAACGGGCTCTAATTGTAAACGCTTCGCGTTGCCCGCCTGGGCCAGTCCGCTTTTGGCTGGCTTTGAGGTATATACTGTGTTTTAGTTTGCCTTGAAGTGTTGTTAGAGTGGGTGAGTCAGTGCCGAAATGACTGAGCTGGTTTCCCCCTCAGAGGCTGGGTGCATGTCCGCGCGTTTTCACATGGCTTCAAGGGCCAGAACGAGAGCTGCAGAGAGAGTGGCAAAATGGCAGTAGGCTTGCGCCCAGCGAAGGTGCAAATTTCTAGGGAATTTGATTGCTGTAGGCCACAAGCAAGCGGGGATTGTTTTTTGAACTTTTCCAAACCCCCTATTTGCCACCCGGCGTGCATGTATGTCCATGTTTGAGTGGCCTTCGGTTTGAATTTTTGAGGCTCCTTGCCGCCAGGTGAAGGGGCAGAGCGTGTCCGCCACCAAGGACGAGATGAAGCGCGTGATCGCGCAGGCGATTCGAGAAAGAGAGAGAGAGAGAGAGACAGAGAGAGAGAGAGAGAGAGAGAGAGAGGGAGAGAGCCCAGGTCAAAATGTTCTGGCAACAATAGCAGCATGTTCTTGTTAGTGGGACACATACACGTGGTCCAAAAAAGTCAAACATTTCAACTTCCAAACAGAAGCCAAGGCTTGCAACTTAGCAACCGGTTTGAAGATTGAAAAGGAAGCCCGAGGCTGGGTCTCAATCTCGAAGTAGGTGACCCCCTAGCAAATCTGTTTGAATTTCTGTGTGATCCAACCCCAAATGAGGGCCTAAATCATTGAACATCACAGGGACACAACCAGCAACATCAGGATATCACCGGGACAGCTTTCTATGTCGAATTATTCGGCCCTGCCATGTTCGCAAGGTTTAGCATGTTTAGCCCCTCATATGTAGGAAGGGGGGCGTCAGGTCACCCCCCGTTCAGCTGCCCCACCTTGTGTCCTGGGACAAACCCTTGCAAACGGTTGGGATCCTTGCAAAAGCCAATCAAAACAGGTTCGTGCCTCCTCAGATTCGTGTTTGGCGGCTTGAATGGACCCAGAAAAACCTTCCCGCGCCATGAAGGTGGATGATAGTTTGCCCAGTGGAGATGGGTGCTCTGTAGCAGCGAGGCTGGACGGCCACGCTCAGCGAGGCTGGCTTGAAAGATGGGATCCTTTGGCTTGAAAGATGGGATCCACTAGGAAGGCTTTCGCTCTTCATGGCTGCGGTGAGGTTGTGACCTGGAATGATCTGAAATATGGCGGAGACCGCACCAGGTGCAAGAGCAGCTGAGGAACGTCCAGCACATTTAGGCAACTGAGAGTGCTTTTGCTGCCAGTCTTGAATCTGGGGGTGTTGTGGCTTGGGGTGATCCAGCATACGGCGGAGACTGCAGCCAGTGCAAGGGCAGCTGAGGAATGTCCAGCGCATGCAAGCAATTGCCCTTGGTGGCTTTGCTGTCATTCTTGAATCTGGGGCTGTTGTGACCTGGGGTGCGGCGGAGACAGCAGCCAGGTGCAAGAGGGTTCATGGTTGGTCCGTGCACGTCGAAAGCGCGTCGAGCCCTCTAACTCGTTATCTGCAGACCCTTACGATGCGGGTCTGGTCTGTGCACGGCGGGCCCTTACTCTGCAGACCCAGCGCCTTCCTGGTCTTTGTTGGGGCTTCCTGGTCTTTGCTCAACGCCTAACCCGGTCTTTGGGTCGTTGGGGGCCTTCCCGTTCTTTCACCAGGGGCCTTGCCGGTCTTTGCTAGGCGCCTTCCTGATCTTTTGCGGGGGCCTTCTCGGCCACTCCGGTCTTTCGCCCGGGGCCTTGCCCGGGGCCTTCTCCGGCTTGCCGCCCCAGCAAAAGACCGGGAAGGCGCGAGCAAAAGACCGGGGAGGCCCCAGCGCAAGACTGGGAAGGTGCAGACAGCCCGGTCTTTCGCCTAGCGCCTTCCCGGGCTTTTGCCGGGGCCAAAGACTGGGCAGGCGAAGCCAGGAAAGCGGCCAGGCAAACACCGGGAAGGCGCCGGGGGCCCGGCATGGCCCACGATTTAGCACCAAACGCACAGGGTGCGTTTGTCGCAAGCGCACTGCTTGCGCTAGAAAAACGCTGCTCGGCGCCTTCCCAATCTTTGCTCTGTATAAACACGTTGTGACTAAAAGGCAATCCTGGTACCAAAAGTCCAGGGGCTTCGGGCGTTCAATCGCCCTTGCGCCAGGCTGTGGCGCAGCCGAAGGAGCAGGAGCTGCCATGGGTGCATCAGGCAGGAAACCGAGATCCTGGTTGTTTTTCCAGGAATGGGGAGGCAAGAGTCTGAATAGAAGGGATTCTGATGGAAGGGTTCTTAGAATCTTTCGGGGGGAAGGTCTGAACGTGTTTGCTTATTTGTGCAGTTGCTTAGAGTTAACCCATGGAGTCCCCGTGGGGCTTCTAAGAGCTTCGCAGAAGCTCATTGTTCATAGGTTTTCTCAGAAGGCTTCGGGTACAAGTGGCTTTGGCCGTCACAGACGCATTCCTAAGGCATTCTAGCGGTCTCGCAGATTCTGTCTGCATTCTGCTCGCAAGTATTTTTTTGCAGCTAGGAACACTCTAAGAAGCAACTGCTCGTCTGAGAAGGCACCCTGCAGACGCCACCTTGCGCCGACTCCTTTGGTTTTGCCTCGCATTTGGGTCGAAGTGCAACAGGTACGTACAGTCTGGGGTATGGCCAAACTCAAGGGATCCGTTTCGACTGGTTTCTACATGATTGCCCCCCAATTAACCAGTGACAATACGATTCGTCTTTGTTCCAGATGGTTTCCTGCAAGTTACAACCGCCGAACATGATGTGATCATTTCGAGGAGAAGCATAGTAGCTGATTCCAATGGACGATCAAGATATGGCTGGTTTTCAAGAGCAACAGGCTGAGTGGGGGGCAGCATCGAGAATCAACACACACATGAGCAACCAACATATTGTTATAGTTTGGGGAGACATCTGGGGCCCACCCACATTTGCATTTGTTTTGTCTGGGGCTCATATCATGCATCCAGGTTTCCTTGCAGTGCATTTTGGCTCCAGCACAGTCCACTGCTCCGGAACGGCAAAGAAAAGTAAATATTCGGCCTGGTTGTGGGAAACTTGGTTTTAGGTTACCAATTTCCGTACCAAGCGAACCCCTCTTTGAGGTGACCGAGGAGTCATGTTTGGATGGGAATCCTCCGTTGGCAACACAAGGGTGATGTCCACAGCCATGAAAAGCGGCATGCGGTGGGCAGTGCTGCTGGCTGCAGGTGCTGCAGTTGCATATGCCCAGCCCAGGAAGCAGAGCATTGAAGCACCAAAGTGGCTGGACGACGACGGCAAGGAGCTGTTCAACGAGATCGAGACACTCACTCCAGAGGTGAATTCAACTTTTGATATTTTGTCATTTGCTTTCCTGTTGCAGGGTCACTTAAAGGATACATTTGGCCCAAGTAGAAGCATTTTGATCAGCTGTTTTTGGATCCCTTTCTAAAGCAGGCGGTTTTTTGTTGTATCCTTCAAAGAACCCAGTGTGGTCCGTGTGTGGAACACTCGTATTTGCTTCTTTCCCCAGGTTCCCCCAAGCCTAAGGAATGACGACAAGACCTTCGGGGACCTCGCGTGCGAGTACCGAGAGAAGCTGCTTAAGGCCATGGCCGGCAAAGGCGATCCATCCGCCTCCAGCTATCGCGCCCGCACGCTTCTGGGGCTCGGCCTCTGCGAGGTGAGGAGAGAGACGCTTGGAGTGACCTGGGGCGGTTGAGTGAAGAGAAAGGCTTTTGTGATCGCGCGAGCTTCTGGAAAATTGGGGAGTAGGCCGCGGGCGAAGAACGGAATTTGCTGCGGTAACCTCTTTGGAGGGTGGTTTTACAGGGAACGAGAAGGCAAAACACAAGGTTGGGGATTCATGTCCACCAACCTTTTTGGAGGTGGTCTATATAGCCCTCAAACGCGGGGTGAACATGGAACCCCAGCCTTTTCTGGTGTCTTCGCAGATAAGCTTTCTTGCATATTTTTAAGGACTGAAGGTAAATAGAATCTGGCAATGTGTTTTTTGGTGTGCTCACTGGGGTTGGGCCCCCGTTTTGGGGCTTGCTTAAGCAGAAACTAAGAATGAATAGACGCCTTCCGCCGTTCACCTATTATGAGACACAGCCTTTGCTTCTTTCTTTTGCCTTTTTTTCGAATACCAAATTGGTTGCCCAGTTTGCCGCGGGCACAGCGTGTGTCTTTCTTTTTCGAGCCAGTTTTCCTTTAAATGGCAAGAACGGGCACCACTGAGGGTCATTGCCTTTCTTTTTGGGGGGGGTTTGCCAAGAAAACAATCAATTATCCCAGTTGCGACTTTAGGCACCCAGCAATTTTCTTGCTTTTTGCATTCTAGAGGGGTGGTTCCTTTGGTTACCTACTAGACTATACACGCAAATGGAATCAGAGGGATTCTCATTTTAGGTAGGTGACATCTTGTAATTCACCCAGTAAACCAAAAAGCTCCCTGCAAACGAAACCCAGCACCCACCACCCTAAGCCAACCAACCCTACACCAACCCAGAAAATAGGGGCAAGTGATTTTGGACGGTTCCCTTGGTTCCTATCGGAGATGGAACCGCACTATACTATTAGGCTGCATGGCTCCCGTTGCTGTGGCTGGAATCAGTCCATGATGGGAGAGAGCGTTTTGACTGTGCGCTCGTGGCAACCTGACTGGGTGTGAACTTTGATAGGGAACCCCCTGATTTGACAGGTTGGTGGACACACCCTCTGCTCTGCTCTACAATCATGGAAGTGGACAGGCAGTCTTCCAACACCCCCTCTGCCAGCTTCCGTGATTGGGAGGGTAGCTGCATGCCATGTTTGTCTCAAAATTAGGGGGACTCTGTGGATGGTTTTATGAAGCCAGCAGGAAACCAGGTACTCGGCTGGCCCACACAGACATAAATGATGTCCATGTCCAACCGCTGAGGAACTGGGCGATGGCCAAGAAGCGTCTGGAGAGCGCCATCTCCGAAATGAACGCCGCAGCCTCGGACAAAATGACCCCGGTTACTGAGTTAACGTTTGGGAACGTGGGTATCTAAGTTTGTCTCAAAATGGGGAAACCCCTCTAAACAGGTGCTATCCTTTTGGTTTCCTTTTTGAAAGCACGTTCTTGGCCCAAATCAAAATGATATGTTCAGATTTAACATCAAACATAGAGAGGATGTGCTCTTGTTTTCTGGGGTGATTCATCCAGCCTCCAGTGATTTGTTTGTGTTCTTGCCTTTTTTGGCGGGGGAGGAAGGGTGATCCAACCTCCAGTGAACTTCAATGGGAGAAAGGGCCATTTCACCTAGTTGATTTCGAAGGGACAAAAGAATCGCACCAGCGGACTTGGTGTGTGTCGAGGGTACCCTTTTCAGCGTCGAAAGGCTAAAGGTAGAGGAACACCACCCGATTCCGGGTCCACTTTGACAGGTTTCACATGGTTGTGTCTTTTTCGCTTAGGGCACCTTTTTCGGCTTGGCTCTGTTTTTCTACAGGGTTAGCAGGTGTCATGTCACGGGAAGCCGAAAGAAAGGAACTCGTTCCGAGTCTTCCCCTTGGAGGCAAAGCCAGGTTCACTTTGCCACCTTAAGAGTAAAGAGTGGGGTTCCTGCACCGAATCACCTACATTCGCCTACATTTTCAGTGTAGAGCGGCCATGTTTTTCCTCCAGCAGTTGTTGTCAAAAGGGTCCTCTGGGTTCTGGCAGTCCTCCTCAATGCTGGCTCGACAGTGACTTGCCCTTGGCAAGAACCAGGACTTCGCCAGCACCGAAATCCAGCAATCGAGTCTGCCTCAAAACAATCCGCCGGCAACAGTACGACTCCTTTTATAGAGATCTGTTTTCTTTTTCAATCTGCAGAGACAAATCAAGGCCTAGCGGGTGCCACCATGACTTAATGATCCAAGGCTCACAGGCAATGGAACTCAACCAGCCGCAAGGACGAAGCAGATGATGCTCGATCCCTGTGCGTGTACCCCTTGTTTCCTGTTGGCGTTGTGTTCTTGTTCAATCTAAAGAGGAGCAGAAGTGTCCGAAAATAGACTCAGCATCCATCCAATGGACTTGTTATGTTGCTTGCGTTTTCACCAAGTCCAAAGCATCACTGTCCAGGCAAATGCTTTATGGTATTTTGGGACCACCCAAAGCGTAGTGCTTTGTCCATGTCATTTTGAGTCGTTTGACAATGGTGAACCCCCCAAATGAGTCGTCGCGTTTTGGCGACCTTTAAACCAGCCCCAAAACGTTACCTTCGCACAAGAACAAACTCACTACTTACACACACACACACATCCAGGCACACAGACAGACACACACACACAGGCACCGACCCGCTCACACACACACACACCCACGCACGCTCGCACGCACGCACAAACACACAGAAAGGAGCATGTTTCCGATGATGTCCACCCCAAAACACCCAAATGGAGGGCAGGCTGGTCTTCACCGCAGTGGAATGTTTGCACTGCGTACTCCGCGCGGAGGCCCCCAGCGAGGATGCCATGCTGAAGAATCCGGATCTAGCGCCCCTCGCTCTGACGAAGCAGGCCAGCGACCTCATGACGCTGGGCGAGTCACAAAGTGCCGTTGTTCGATTTCTCAAACTTGGGCCCCTCAGAGGGGGCCCGCATGTGGAGGGGTTCTTAAATATTGTTCGGGCGTTTCCTTGAAAACCAACATTTAGAGAGTCACGTTCAGGATGTCGCTATAGACAAGGTCAAGCCGGAGGTTAGCCCCTTCAATTGGGAACGAGTCATGAGTTGTTCAGAGTGCGTCAAGGGAAACTGCAGGGGAGCCTTGTGGGTGTTGCTAGAAATGAATGACCCTTCCAATTGGCTGGTCTTTTAATAGCAGTAAATAATGAACTCTAAAGAAAGGGAGATTCAGTGGACGAAGAAATTCATGAAAACAAAAGTCCATAATCCAGATGAAATTGTGAGAAGGACTAAAAGAATACCACTGAATCTTGTTCTTCTTATCTTGAACCAGCTTGCATTGTATGCGAGAACCTGTCCAAGAGAAAGAGATGAATGACATGAAAGATAAACAGGATAAGCTTAGCTATAGAACGGATTTCGATTCGTCATCCTATCTTAGACCGCTTCTGGTGGTGAAGTGCGTTCTTCCCTGCATCCTTTCCATTGCAGCATTCACCTTGGGCATGCTATGCAATGAAAGATTTGAAATGATAAAGGTAAGGCAGCCTAAAGTGAAGTTACCAGGATAATATGCT